GCCAATGCTAGAGACTATACGGCGATTAGCAATGACACGAATTTCATTGAGAAAAACCAAAGCAAGCAACCACCCATCAAAATTTACACCATATGTCCAGAAAGTTCTTGATGAAGAGCATGAAGATGCTGCAATCTGCACAATATGGCCATGCACTAGTGGAAAATTTGAGGTTGAAACTGGTTGGGATTCAGAGAGGGTAAACATGACAGATAAGACATGCACATGTTGTAAGTGGGACATAACTAGGATCCCATGTGTGCATGCGTATGGAGTGATCTTGAAAAGAAATCTTGATCATGATGACTATGTGTCAGATTGGTTTCTTACAACTCGCTGGAGAGGAACATATAATGAGGCAATGATCCCACTGAGAGGTGCTGGTCATTGGAGTCGCGGTGACATATCATTGGTGGGTATACCACCTGAACCACCACAACATGGACGAAAGAAGAAGCGTAAGAAACAAAAACGAAAGAAAGGACTTAATGAGTCTCCGTCCAAAAAGAAGAAGAACCAGAGAAAGAACTGAAACGAAAGATGCAAGAATCTCCAGTGACGACACAACCGAAGAGGACAATGCATTGTAAGAAGTGTGGTGGATCTGGTCACAATTCTCGGTCATGTGCGAAACGAGCCAGACGAGTTAGTCATTCTATTTATGTATCCTTTATTTGAGATGGGATTTACTTTCTGTACTTGCTGCTTTTGAAATTTATTTTTTGTTGTTTTCAACTGTTCAGGGACATGGAGAAGCTTGTGCAAGTCAAGTGGATCATCAAGAGTAGCTAGTGGAAATTAAGTGGATCAAGTGTAGCTTTAGTTAAGCTTATTTCTTTGGCACTCTTAAGAAACGAAGATCCATTTTAGCTTTCTTATAAGTGAATTATTGGCTTTTTATTGGATGTTATAGCTCTCTTTACGTACGTGCATCATTTTTTCATAAATATCATGGTTATGGATTACACTTTTTCAAATTCGGGTTCTGCTTTGTTTTTGTCTGCTTTAGATAATCGAATACATGATATTGAGAATTTTCATACCTTCTAAACTGAGTAAAGGCTTCATAACAAGTATCTAACACCAGGAGTTGGTCGAAAGAAATGAAGTTTTGGTTTAGGTTTAGTTTTAATTTAAACCGGTTTAGAAAAGGGATAGATGGAGTTGGTGATTAACGACAATGGGGTCATAACTCAAAATTAAAATTATGTGGGGATACAACTTGTTGAAGTTTTAATGTGTAGCTAGAGCAAGAACTAAAAGTTTTGTGGGGTTATAGACTTAAACGAAACTTTAGATGGGGCTACACCCCGACGTCCCTATTAATAGATGCATGGATTTAAACATTTCAATCGACCTAAATCACAAGAAACTAATCTAAATCAGTGATTTTATGAATGTAGTACAACTTAGTAGAATTTGATATAAATAAGATGGGTACAACCAATATTACTAGGTATAACTGGTACGAGTACAACTGGTACTACATATTATTACGAATTGGTACAGGTCGTACCATACACAACATTGATTATAGTTTGGGTGTTTATTATATTTCATAATACAATGAATAATATTTATCAGAAATTCATATTTATGATTATGAAGCATATTATGTAAAAAGAATAAATTCATGAAAAGTTATTATGCATTAGTTTCAAAAAGTAATTAAGGAAATTGTAAATAATTTTTATAATATTTACAATAAGAATTTAAGCTCTATTAAGAAATATAAACATGTTTTAAGTAGTGTTTGGTTTGATATAATACTTAACAAACGTTATTTTTTTAATTATTTTTGTTAAAAATAATATTATTGTATAACTAATATTTGTTTATAACCTTTTTATTATCATTAAAATTTATAATAGTTATACATAACTAGTTAAAGAAAAAATTGCAATTATAGATTTATCATATTCTTTGTTTCTCATCAAACACCTTATACTTTAGAAAACATTACTTAGATAGAGCACAATTATATGTTTATTCCTTAAACAGACAATTTTTTTTAATTCCTTAGATGTTTAGTGAGATGGGTGTAATTATAATAAACACCCTTGGTCATATTTCACTTAAAAATTGCTACGTCAGATCCGACATGTCACGTCATACCCGAAATTGCCACGTCATACACAAGAAGAAGACGAAAGGTCGCGTTACGGCTGAGTTATCAATCAACTTAAGTTTTCGCGGTATGTTTTCATGTTACGGCTGAGTTATCATATAAACTTATCTGGCTGAGTTATCGAAATTAACAAGCGGAGATGTGGCTGAGTTATGAAAGACATATTAAATTTAACAATAAACAAGCATTTTAAATTCAACAATAAACTTAATATTAGGGTATAAGGATATATATTAATGTGGCTTTGTAATATAAAAGATAAAATTAACACTAATATGCAAGATAGAATTGTATTACGTTAGTGTATTACACTATCTGCCTAGTAATGAGACAAGCATTTTAGGGTAATATCTCTTTGTAGTAAACCTAAGTCTGAAAAGGTATAAACACGAGCTATTTTAATTATATTCATTGTCACCATTGAATAAAAATGTTAATTTCATCTCATTTAAGTGGTGTAATAACATGAATGTTTGTATAATCTTATATTTCAAATTCGATGTTTGGCTGAGTTATTGAAGTGTAACAGCTGAGTTATTTTACATCGTTATGGCTGAGTTATGTAAATGTTATGCCTGAGTTATGGTTTTGAATTTGAGATTCGAGGTTTGGCTGAGTTATAGTTAGACAGATTTTGAGGTTTGGCTGACTTATCGTAAATTAAATTCGTGGGTTGGCCGAGATTAACCCAGACGACGTCGTTTATTGTTTCTTCTTCCTTATACACATAATCGAGAAATCAGAAGGGAGATTTAGGGTTCTTTCGATTTCTGGGTTTGCCAGCGATTTCTGGGGTTGTCTTCAATTTCTGGGTTCTAGTTCCCATCTTTTAATAATGAGCGACTACTCGTCGAGTTCATATAGTTCAGCACATGGTGCTTACCCTCTAGATCTTCCGACGAATTGCGGATGTTGGTGTGGTAACGATATCATCACATACATATCGAAGACAAAGGAAAACCCTTACCGTATCTTCTATAGATGCTCGATTGCTTTGAAGGTAGTAATTTTCATTAATTGTTTATTGCTAACATATGGGCATCGATGTGAATTTTTTGTTTTTTTGTTAAGTAGAGGCCGAATGAATCGCATTTCTTCAAATGGGTTGATGAGGCATCGGTTGAAGAAATTAAGATGGTCGACGAAAAGGTAAAGAGAATAGAAGAAGATGTGACAGACTTAAGGCATAATGTTACTCAAAATTTATATCTTCAAAAAGAAATGTTTGACAAGCTTGAGGAAGAACTGGGTAAGAAGCTTGAGGAAAAATTGATGAAAAAGATTGAGGATGATATGGGTAAGACAGCTTTTAGGACAATTTGTCTACTCTCTGTAATAGGAATCATAATTGTATGGCTATGGGAGAGAATGTAATTGTTGTTTGCATCATGTTTCATCATGTTTAGACTGATTATGTTGTAATTTGAGTTCTTTAACCAGCAATTTTAAGAGTTCTTTGTCATGTTTAATGAAACTGGGATAGGCTGAGCTCTGATTATGTTACGGCTGAGTTACGGCTAAGTTACAGCTGAGTTATGCAAAGTTACGCAATACGTTACGGCTGAGTTACACGGTAAGTTACGGCTGAGTTAAGAGTTAAATTATAATTAGCAATTATATAATTATATAAATATACGAAACACTAGTGTCGAATGATCAATATTAATGAAGAAGAAATAGGAAACACTATATATTAATTATATAGAAATACGAAACACTATATATTAATGCGTTGTTCTTGTATACCGATTAAGTGTTGATGGCCTAGTGTTTATGTAGTCAGTATAAAAGTGATTGGTTGGAGGTTCAAGCCTTGCTGTTGACATATTTTTAATTACCATCTAAGCGACCAAAATGACGTTGTTTTGCCACGTCATCAAGCGATGGATTTACGTGTCATTTGACGTGGAATCCACGTCGGCGGAGAGTTAACAGCGTTACACATTTAACACATTTTTGTATTATTCAGCACGAAATGAAATCTCGAGGTACTAAATTCAAATTTACAATAAGTCTAGGCATGATCTAGCAAAATGACAAGTCAACTATATGAAATTAACATACCTAGATAGTCCAGGTATGCAAAAGCCCATTTTCCATATAACATATATATATATATATATATATATATATATATATATATATATATTTGCAACAAATATGCAAGGTAAGATTTATAATTTTGAAAAAAACAAAAAATCCACAATTACAACCAATTCAAATTATGTGGTGCTAGTTATGACTAGAAACTAGTTTAGGGTATAGGAATATAACGATGTTGTTAGATAGTTTTGAAAAGTTTCCAACAAAGTCTAAATTATTGATGAATAATATGGTAAAATGATTGTATCATATTAAAACTTAGTATTTATATGATTTCATAACTTGATTATAACAACAAATTGACATAATGCATATTTGAGGTTTGTTTGACTTGTTCTATGTTATGGCTGAGTTATGAGTTATGTAACAGCTGAGTTATACGGCTTTAAAGGCAAGAAGTTTCAGTCGTTTATCCTACTCGTCTTTGCTCGCATATGATTGTCCTACGACGAGGTTTAGCTTAGACATCTCCACCCTTAAAGACTCTGAATTCCCAATCGATCCCACTTTGCCAAAGTAATGAGCTCTGTTTTGAGTAGGAGACGCTAAATCTTCATCGTTCTCCTGATGTTCGCCGTATACAGTAAAGTTATCATCATCAGATGACGCACCATCCGAGTCGTCAAAAACGTCAAATCGGGTTGAAAATTCGTCATCTTCTTCTTCCTCCTTTGCTTCTTCGTACTCTGTTTCATCGCCATTGACTTCATCTTCTAGGTTTTCACTATAATCATAACAGAAACCATCAAATCCTCTATCACCTTCTAGGTTTTCTACGGCTGAAGAAGCCGAACTGCGTGGCCGTTTCATCCTTCCATTCGATCCGTCCTTCGTCGTTAAATACATATTTCTGTTTCTTTGCCCAATTACCAGACACAACAATTAATTGAGCCGGATGATCCATGTACGAAAATGAAGAACAAAGGTGAAGAACTCAGGTGAAAAAGAAAAGAAAGAAAAAAATGAGGGTTTGAAGAGGGCGACCTTTCGTATTTCCCTCGTTGATGACATGGAATGATGACGTGGAATTATGCATTTGAAGTCGTAAGTCAGCCACCAAACAAATCTGTAATTCAGCCAAAATAAATTAGCCATCAACACAACTTAAATCAGCCACAACATGAAAAATATTTAAGTAATTACTAAAATGTTTTATAAGATGTCAAATTCAGCCGTAACGTCAATAAGTCAGCCGTAACCAAAAATAAGTCAGCCGTAACTGGAAACTATATGAGTAACAAATCTTTCGTCAATAAGTCAGCCGTAACATGGTTGAGTTTTCCGTTAAGTCAGCCAATTACGACTGAGTTATGTCTCTGAAACATAAGTGAGCCGTAACGACATTTGATAACTCAGCCGTTGTCGATAACTCAGCCAACCGGAGAAAGTTAAGTCAGCCGTATCGAAGACATAACTCAGCCAAACTTCTGATAACTCAACCATCAGACTATAACTCAGCCGTAGTGGCGGCTGAGTTATTAGCCGTTTTCTCATAACTCAGCCAGATTTTTATAAGTCAGCCGTAACTGTTGGCTGAGTTATGATCGTAAGTCAGCCGTTGGCCGAGAAGATCACAATGGATAAGCTCAAAAACTGATGAGGTTTTATTATCACTTATTGAAAGACAAGCTCTTGTTTGCTTGGCGCGGAAACGAACATCACACGCCTTATTGAAAATTTCAGAATCAACAGAAACATAAACATTTGGAAGTAAACCAACTACTGTAGGAGATGGGTGGCCCATTCTACTATGCCAAAACTCGTAAGCTTTCGCATCTTGAGCCATGACTAACGCAACCAACTCCATGCGGGAGAGACGATAGGTTCCACATTCACGATTCCCCGCTCCAATCTTCATCCTCGAAACGCGGTCCTGATGTACAAGGAATTTATCAGTCATTTGTACTACACAACGATTCTCATCAAGAAGATCCCACTGATAAAAGATCCGACTGCAATTCTTCCACATAAAAAATGGATTTCAAAATAAGTTGCGTTCCGAACACAATAGTACCCTCCATGTTGGATATTCTCTGTCTCCCATCTGCCATAATTACTACCACAGGATCCATGGTTCTGATGTTTGTAAGGATTTCATAATTTTCTGTGAGATGATGTGAGGCTCTTGTATCCAAAATCCAAGAGGGAAAAGAATACTTACCAGAGAGTTTTTCGTTACTAGAGCTTGCAACCCCATTAGCACAAGCATTTAGAAGCTTCACAAGGTTCTGCCACTGAATATTGTTGAAGCCGCTTACTCCGTCACGGTCCGAATCGGTGACCACATAATTAGCTTGTTCATGACTCATCGTGTTTGGAACATGAACTGCATTTGCGTAGCTTGGATTCCGACCATTACCAACAACGGGGGAAGAAGAAGAACCACGGCCCCTTCCTTGTATTGTTCTGCTTCTCAGTCGCTCTCCCCACCATTCCGGATAACCAATCACCGCAAAACAGCTATATGAAGTGTGACCTCCACTATGACAGTGCTTGCAGACACTCGATCCATCATCACTACGCACAAGAGGAGCATTTCGTGGTTTTTGATGAACAACATAGGCTGTGATTTCAGGAACATCATCACTCTTTCTAGCATTATTCCTCAAATCCTCCTCTTGACGCACCACATTATAAACTTCCTCCATTGGCTGAATTAGTGTTCATGATAAAAGGCTTGATCTCACTGTCATGAATGTTTCATCAAGTCCAGACAAGAAATCATGAACCTTGTCTTCTTCTCGATCTTTCTCCTGAAGTGTAGTCAAGTCGCACTCACACTTTCCACACTTCCAAACACGAAGAGACATGTGATTCGCCTTACTATCCCAAATCCGATTGAGCTTCCCATAATATGCTTCAATCGCGAGTCCCCGTTGCTTACAACAAGCCAGCTCTGCCTTAGCTGCTGAACACCAGGACCGTTTGTGACAGAAAAATGTTTCTTCATATGGTCCCACAAATCCTTCGCGACGTTGTGGTGAGAGATGTTGGAACGTAGAGACGGATCAACCATCATTCGTATCCAAGAAACCAACAGTGCCTAGATGGTCCACCAGTCTTCGAGATCGGCGGATCCTTCTGCTGGGCGAGCTATGGTGCCGTCTAAAAACCAAATTTCTTTCGTGAACAGAGAGTGGTCTTCAATCCACATGCCCACTCTTCATAGGTTGCTCCTTTCAACAAAGGAAGTGACATCACATCACCGGGATTATCCGCAGCACTCAAGTCGTATGGAGAGATTTTGCGTCTCACCTCGCTGTTTGTCGGGTTCGCTTCGTTCGCGTTCATCGCCATGTGCAATAGAAAAATCAAAGAGATGAAAAAATTAGGTTTCAGGCTCTGATACCATGTGAAATCAGAGGAAGAAGAGATGTGTAATATCTTTCTTTATTTCAGTTTGACAATGATTACATCAATATATACAATAGAAAGGCTCAATCACCAAGTCTAATTACCAAAGATTAAAGAAAACTATTTACTGTAATTGCTAAACATACGGATACGATTTGTAATATCGATTAATATCCCAATATATGTCTCAACCCATTTTACCCAGAATGACTTACCACGAGAGACTAGATGCCATATTAGATTTTAACAACATACATCCTTTGCCTCCTTTAATAACCTTACCCTAGTCCACCCTCACGCTTTGGTTTACAACCATCTTCCCATGCGATTTTTGCTTTATGTGAGTGTAAATCCGGTCTTCTCTATCTCTCCTATACACTGTCGTTGGAGTCCAAATACAACCACCCGGAAGTTACATATACTCCATAAGACCGACCATATAAGTACGTCCATGCTTATAACAAAGAGATAAGGAGAAAGTGAACAGCCATGTCTCAGGCCTCTACAGCTTAAAAAAAGTCCAGCTAGTTCTCCATTAAGCTGAACTGAAAAAGAAGCAGTGGTAACACAAAGCATGATCGAATGCACAAAAATAGGTGGAAATTCAAGAGTGGTAAGGACATATCTAAAGAATTGCAATGAATCGAATCAACGCCTTCGAAATATCTATTTTTATGGCACACCGTCCCAAGATTGAAGCTATTCGATCATCTTTAACCAAATCCGTGGCAAGAAGCAGATTCTCAATCAATAAACAATCTTTCACAAAAGCCTATTGATTTCCAACAATATCTTTGGGCATACCACTTTTAGTCTATTTGTTATGATCTTTGAAATAACCTTATAAATCACATTACAACACAAAATCGTCATTGTTATAAGCATATTTTCTCAACCACAAGGAATCTATGCACGAA